GGGGGGCGGTTGGTGAATCCGAGGTTCACATCGCGTTTTCGCTGTACACTTTGGGGCTGTGGGTGCGTTGTATGAGTGACGTTCAAATAGTAGCCCAAGAGTAGCCAAGGATAATGTTGACTACTTGTCTTCCCCCTAGTCTGTAGGTTGAAAATTAGGGGGTGATTTGAGGAGGTAGCTTTTCGCAAATATTTTAAACAAACAAATACTCCTTTTTACGTTTCGACCACCATCAAAAATGCTCCATTGTGCTATCTCATGATCCATTTCAAGTGTAACATTTCTTCAACTGTTTCATCTTCTGGGAAATATCAACTTTAATATATTTCTAGCCATGAAATGTATACCTTTGAAGCAACTGTACAAGCGAAGCGAGTTAACACGCAATACAAAACTTTCCAAGTCCGACCACTTCACCTTACATAGCAACCAGAACCAGTTGCTGGGATCCCAATTAATAGATAACTACTGGCTAGCGCGATAACAAGGTCACGTGTACACCCGCCCCCACTCGTACCTTCTAGATGTCAGCAATGTTTATTATATACACTCGTTCGAACCGGTGTCCAGTTTTATACCCCGTCGTTCTGTCACCAAATGTTTTCATTATTAGTAGATTGAAGCCAGAATCTTTAACAACTTTCTCCAAAGTTCAAAAGAAGCGCAACGCCCACAAACAACTACAGTTACGTCAACTAGTTGTTTGGTAATATATTTTTCAGCCCACACCACGAGGTTCTTCATCAAACGGTTGTGTACCAGTTTGGAGCATGCGCTGTAGTTGACCGAACGAAAACTGTGATTGTGTTGACCACGTAGGGGTTTTCTATCAGGATGGATCTATACATCTCGTGTAAACAAGCGTCTTAACTTTTGTTTTTCTTCCTCGAATCAGTTTCTAAACTTTGATAATATTGTATATTGTCCGAGAAATCACTCTTTTAAATATTCTTTTAACAATTACATTTTGCAATATAAATATATTTACGTATATAAAGCTTGAATCATTTTTTAACCGATATATTATTTATCTGTAGACATTAAACAATTCTTTCTGTTATGTGGTGCAATACCCTCTTCGTTCTTTATTTTAGAATTTGTAAACATTAACAATCTATATAAATATGTTTTTTCACACAGTTTTTGAATTTTTTTTTTAAATTTCTTACTTACAGCTTGATCAATTTGTTTTCGATTATAGCTGATATTAATCGGTTCTCTAGAGATATCAACTTTTCATTAGTATCATAGTATTTAATTCTCCCTTCTCCAACCGATCTTATCAACCAATTAAAACCTATGTCAATAACTTTCTCCGGACAATAACATTTTACTAAAAATTTTTCTTCAAACACAAAAAAGGATTAGATAAAGCTAAATCCGTACCCTTTAAAATAATCTCCTTAATAAATTTATTTTTAATTCAATTCAATTTCTGTTAGTCCACGATACTGGGGTCTGAAGTAACGACATAACTATCTAATCCATAGATTGTTTTTTTTATATAAAATATCATTGTTCAGGAAAGATTATGACAGAGGTTTTAATTTGGTGAAAAGATGAATAGGAGAAGGAAAAAAATAAATATATGGACACTACTGGAAATGATATATCACTACTGGAAATGGTATATCACAACAGGGATAGTGATGAATATCAACTTTATTCGAAAACAAATCGATAACCACTAAATCTATATAGATAGTTAACTTTTATAAATTCTAAAGTTAAGAGTGAAAAAAGTATTGTACTATGTAACAGAAATAAAATGTTTAATTGTTTTTTTGTTTATAATTATGCACAAAGCTACACAAGGGCTATCTGTGCTCTGCCCACCACGGGTATCGAAAACCGGATTCTAGCGTTGTAAGTCCGCAGACATGCCGCTGGGGGGCAAATGTTTAATGTGGCCCGGCATGGCCAAGTGGTTATGGAGCTAGACTCGCAATGTGCGAGTCGCGGGTTCGAACCCCCGTCCCACCAAACATGCTCGCCCTTTCAGGCGTTATAATGTGACGGTCAATCTCACTATTCGTTGGTAAAAGAGTAGCCCAAGAGTTGGCGGTGGGTGGTGATGACTAGCTGCCTTCCCTCTAGTTTTACACTGCTAAATTAGGTACGGCTAGTGCAGATAGCCCCCGTGTAGCTTTGCGCGAAATTCAAAACAAACAAACAAACAAGCTACCAATATATCTAACAAGGAACAGTTTGTTAAAAAATAAAATACTTCGAGTTTTCTTATATAAGTATTTTTACATCACGCTAAAATAAAAACTTAAGTGATAACTAGAGATTCATAACGATACTTGAAATATTGTACACACACACACAAAAAAAAAAGCCACTAGCGTGTAACGTACAAAATGTGAAACATTAAGTAAAGTAAATAGCTAGGCCTAAAACACACTCAAAGTTTTAGCGACTTATTTGTTTGTTGAAGAGCGTAAAATCACGCAATGAGCTATCTGTGCTGTGCCCACCACGATTATCGAAACTCGGTTTTCAGCATGACGAGTCACTGGGGGGGGGGGGCAGTTTTAGCGATCTGTGGGGACAAGAGAAGAAGAGAACTTGGTTTTACTAAACTTGTGTTGTATTGAACAATAAATTAAAGTTTCATACTTCTCAAGTGACGACAAGGCCGCTCGAAACGTTTGTTAATCGTATTCTTCTAAACTGTTTTATCCGTCAACTTATCTAGACATTATAAAGAAGACTGATTTACGATCATGTACAAACTTTAGCAAGAGAGGTTTCAGTCAAAGAAAGAGGGAAGACAATTATTGCCCATAAGAATGCCCATCCCTATTGGAAATTTTGGATCTACTCTCCATAAGACTGCCCATCCCTATTGGAAATTTGGGATCTACTCTCCATAATACCGTCCATCTCTATTGGAAATTTGGAATC